GTCCCGAGTGAAGTGAAGGGCACTTTCCTGTCTCCCTCATGAAAATCCGCGGCGCCCGTTAACCCCTCCAGCTCGGTACGGCCGTGGGGACAGCTGGTGACTCGAGGGAGCTACAGTAGATAGGTTTCTTGAGCAGAGAAAAGACAGCTCGAACTAGATGACCGACCCCCCCAAGGCCGTGTTCGTGTTACTTGGCGTCCTTCAGGGGGATTTGGGCCATGTAAGCCACAGCCTCTCCAAGCCTTTCAAATATGTCTTCCAGTGTAGCCCTTCTGAAAGTGATGGTTTCATCAGAAGCGAATTGCCTCAAGCATCTGCCCTCCCGGATAGACAGTGCAGTGACAGCTTTAAAGTGTTTTGTTTTGGAGGGAGGCTAAGTCGTGTTGGGCTTTGGAAAATAAGCACAAATGTGGCATAAAGACATACCCGGTTAAAAAATATTAAGGCTATAAAATTAGATGATTTGGGGTTTCCCATGGTGACTGCAGTAATTTGGTTGGAGTCTTTGTATTGTCTTTACCAGTGCTTGCCTTTTTGGTCCTTGTAATACATAAGCTATTTTCCACTTACTAGGCCCAGTTGAGCTGTCTGTATCAGCCAGAGACCAGACCTGAGAACGATTTCTCTGATCAATTAAATACATATGTACCCATATGCTTGAAAGCAAGAAAGATTTGTTCTACCCTTGTTCCTGGTGGCCTTCAGTATTTGAAATGGAGAAAATTCCACTTTCTTTTGTTTCATAAGGTGTCTGACCTGGAAGTATGGCAAAAACAAATGTTATCTTACAGTAAAACTCTTCCCACTAGAATTTATTCTGAAATACCGGTGGCGTGCCTGTCTCTTTGGGGTTTCTAATTTGTGTGCTTGTCATGGAGCCACGAACTTTCTCCTGATCTGTTAATTGCTTGTTGTTGACCTTTATCTTGAAAGTTGTCAAAACAAAATGATAACAATGCAGCACTTGGAAATAGTCCTTTATCCTGGCATTTTTTTTAAAGTCACATTTTTACCTGGAGGGTCTGTGAGCTTATAATTTGAAAAGTGGCTAGTGTCGAATTGGTTTGCAGAGTGGAGAGAGAGTCATCTTTTAATCTCAAGTGCTTAGTAATTAAGAGTTAGGAGGAAAACTGGACTGTTAAAATGCCAAGCTTTTAATCCGTGGCAGCTTGGCTGCCCATTATTGCCTTTCTATTTCACATTAACGTAGTTTGTATCAAGTTTTATCTATTGAGTCATCCTGTAGGCTTTATACCCATGTATTTTTTTTTAAACATATTCCTGTCTAGATAAAGAAAATCTTAGTTTGCTTGAGTTCATTTTCCTGTACTACAACCTTTTCAACTCTTGCCGTCTAGGGCTGGAGTTAGAGTAAAAGACAGTAGAATGAAAGATTGCTGAGAAAAGGCACCTGAGGCTCCTTTTGTGTTTCAGAAAATTTGATTCCACTAATGCTTGGCTAATCAGCTTCTCTGCCCTGGTGGTTTGCTATGTGACATTAGCTGTGCTTGTGGGACGGTGGTGCACACAGGGGAATGTCAGGTGTTCTTCATTGTGCCTGTGCTTTCACTTAGAGCCGACCTGTGTGCCCTTGTATTCTCTGTCCTGTTTACCATTTACACATTTCCCACGTCATCACCATGATGTCTTTTGCAAGATCACTGAATGAAATTCCCTTAAGGCCCGAGTCCTCAGCATTGCCTCACTTGCTCAGTAGGGCATACTGGCTCAATGCTTCCTTCCAGGAGTTTAGGGTCTTCTCTGACTGGGGGTCCCCAGCTCAGATTGAACAGTAGGAACTAAATGAAGCATTTAATTGTGAAAAATTCAAATTCTGCATGTATTTTATATCCCACCCTCAACTCCTGTTAACACAAGTCACAGGCCAAATTTGTGCTGTACTGTATAGCTGACCTAGCACGCCCGTGCCTTTTCTCCCAGAAAACCATGGCGTCTGGCAGTACTACCACCAGTGAGGAGGAGCGGAGTCTCCGGGAATGTGAGATCTATGTCCAGAAGCACAACATCCAGGCCCTGCTGAAGGATTCTATTGTGCAGCTGTGCACTGCTCGACCCGAGAGGCCCATGGCATTCCTTCGGGAATACTTCGAGAGGCTGGAGAAGGTAAAAATAAGTGGGGGGAGGTCTGCGATGACCATGGCAGTTGTTGTTAGGGTCAGTGCTTCTGCTTGCTGTTGATTTGTGCCTTTTGGGAGAGGAGGAACTCTGACCAAGTAAGAAGTCTAATAGAAATTCAAATTAGCATGCAGTGAAGGGTTTCTTGGTAATTTAAATCAGAATCTATCAGAAAGTGAATCAATGCCGTTTGGCTGTTAAAGGGTTTCCAAACAGTTGGTTTTGACTATTTTAAATAGTATTTAAACAGTATTTAACAGGTAGAATCAATCAGATGTAGTTTGACAGTTGTATGAATTGAGAAATAGTTGACAGCCGATAGTGCTCTTCTTTAAGAAAGCAGGAGAGCTTTTAGTTTATCCCACCTTTAAAACTGTAGTCATACATCTGCATCTAGCTTGGGGTGGTGTAATCGAAATCAATTCTGAACTCTCTTGATTTACTGTTAGATGGACAAATTCACTATATAACGGGATGATAGGAGATTGATGGTTATCACATTTTTACTGTTTATAAAGTTGGTTAGGACTTGTTTGCCAGAAAATGTGCAATTTGATTTTTATTCTCTGTTGTTGCATCTGTATTTTGTGTGGGTCAGTGTGACCCACAGACACACAGATTTACTTATTTTTATCTATATGAGGGTTTTGCCTGCATGAATGTATGTGCACCATATGCTCATCTGGTGCCCACAGAGGTCAGAAGAGGGTGTCAGATCCCTTGGAGCTAGAGTTCTGGATGGCTGTGAGCCACTGTGTGTGTGCTCTGGGAACTGAACCCGGAGTCCTCTGCAGAGAGCAGCATGTGCTGCCTTTTGCATCTAGGATGATGCTTCTATGTACTGTCCTCAAGAAATGATGAGTGCAAAAGTTTGGTTCACCCAGTAGTGAATTTGATTTGCTTCTGTAAATCTTTGGGGGTGAATGTACCACTTTGCTGTGCATATTCAAGTTTTGAAGAGGTTCAAACTGCTGAGCCTCATTTCTCTGATTACATGGTTAATACCTAATTTTACAGTAGATATAGCTGCAAAATTAACATTGGTTTGGGCAGTTTCTTACTGGTCAAGTGTTTACTTAAAAGAATATGTATATGGAGATTTTAAAAAGGTATTTGAGTAACTTAGTAAGCAGGTATTTTACACTATTTCCTTGGAAATCTTTAAAATGCTGGTGATTAGAATGATGAGACTAACTGGAAGAAAAGAAAACTGCTAACTAGCACCTCTGAATACAGTCTTGCCACCTTGGATCTGTAGTAGAAACGCTGACTTTGTCTTACTAAAGTAATTGCTAAATAATGGACATACCGGCCAGGAGTGTGCTCTGTTTTGAAATCAAGCGTGTTCCTGGAGATCTGGGCTGAAATGGGTCACGGTAAGGCGATCCCTCTTCTTTGGCCATCAGTAGAAATCAAATGAGAGGATTAAGTTGGTGAGACATTAAGTGCCTATCTTTTTATAGGGAGTGTTGAGTGCGTGACACCAATTTCAAAGCCTGTATTTACCACAGAGGTGTTTAAGGACTAGCCAAGGTGGAAAGCAACAAATAATCGTTATTGTAGTTTCTCTGAGGTTGGGATTTTAGAATTAATGTGCACAGACCTTCCCCCCACCCCCCACATAAGTTACATAATAAAACGCCTTTCTTGTATGTTGAGGTTCTTTGCTGACTTGCTGGAGTTGAATACATGTAATATTCCACTTGGATTTTTAATTAGCTAGATTTTTAGCCTTTTAGCAAAGCCATTATTTCATATGTTGTGTGTTAATTTTTATGTCTGAAAATAAACCCATATTGTTACCATCTCCTTCCCCAATAACTAGGGGTTATATTTCTGGAACTTTCAATGACTTCAGAA